TCGAGAAACGCAATCGAAATCCATTCCTTCATGGTTAGATTCTGCTCACTTCTTCCCTTAAGCTTCTTTTCTTTTCTTTGATCCTTCTAAACATCAATGTAATCTTATCACATTATGTATTCAGAACCTAGAATGAAGCTTAAAAGAGTTAGTAATGGATTTTACCTAAATTAGAGCCATACGTTTCGACTCTCCCATCTCTTAGATCTCTTAGGTAAATAGGGCAGCTTCGTCTCCAATGCCCCTTCTCTTGGCAATAAAAGCAAATTGACTCTTTTGGAACAACACATGGAACTACTTCAGACATCGCCTTTCTCTTATGATCAAACTTTTCGATCATTGCATGTCTTTCATTGCCATTGTCTATATCCACAGAGGTGTCGAAGGCAGATTCACCAATCAACTTTGCTTTTCTATTGCGCCAAACCATTGCTGATTCAGCAGCAATAAGCATATAGGTGAGATCTATAAGGGTCACGTCGCGGTTCATCATATAGTACTCTCTTACGAACTCACTATATGAGTTAGGAAGTGATTGAAGAACCCAATCAACAGCCATCTCTTCACCGACAATGGATCCTATCATTCTTAGTCTATCAATGTGCGACTTCATCCCTAGGACGTGTGCACACACCGACTTTCCTTCTTTATGTTTACTTGCCAAAAGGGCTTGAGTGATATTGAACTTTTCAATTTTACAATCTTGTGGGTTAGGGAGAATAATTGGAGGAGGAGGAGGAAGTGAAGCATGATTTCTTGTTCCTCGATCGAATCGTGGAATATCATCTTCATGTGGAATGCTTGTTCCACGGGATTTGAGAAGACCATAGTTGTCGAACTTTGACATCGGGAGAAAAACGAATTCAAGTTAGTTGATTGATTGAGTCCTTGGTAAATCACCCAAATGAAATTCCAAGGCTAGGACCCAACACAATATCCTACAACTCGGGAGAGGGATGCCGTAACCCAAATGCAGAACATTTGAAGGTAAGTGAATGACGATTCACTAATTTCCACCATGAAAAACGAAAAAGAAATTTAAGTTTTAAATCTATGAAAACTCCTAGATCCTTTGAGATTCATTGAACATTTCAATGGCATGTTTAAATCTCGATATGCCCCTCTTGTTTGTGACTGGGATGCCGAGGATCACAAAGCGGGTGTGAATAACCATGCAAACTACATGGTGCCCTCACATGTTACAATCACCTATTCGATGTGCCGGTAAACCACACACGCTCCACCGAACTATGACAAACATTGAGTCACCCTTTGCTACCTTTGCTTAGAACCATTTAGTGTGCCGGTAAACCACACACGCTCCACTAACGTCTTCGCAAGGGCACAAAGTGTAATTTCATGGAATTGCATCAATTCACTTTTGCCTAAGTAACTAAGATTGGGAATTTGCGAAAATTTAGTTACTCTGTATTTCATTATACTTATAATGGAAGGTTTCGTCCTATCCTACCCGTTCGGCTAACGACCCTCCACTAGTCAAGAGTGCGGTGGGTAAGAGTGGATACCCATTCAATCGCCATTTTATAGGCAATTTCCTTAAACACCCCTTATAGACCAGCTTCGTGAATGAGGCCTACTAACGGTAAGACTGACTTTTACTCATACATATATAATGTTAGACTTTTAATGTTATATATAGTATAGGGTGTATTTTATACTTTTAAAATACTATATGGTTAACTTTAACAATTACACTTTTAATTCAATTAAAAGGTTAACCTAAACTTTTATGGATTTATTAAACCTCTTTTAATTATACTCCTTAATTAATTAATAAAACCATAAGGGTGTGATTTGAACTTTTCAAAACATTACTAGAGTTTTAGAATTTAACATTTCTAATTAAACCTTTAATCAACTTTTAAATTCCAAAACTTGAGGGCAAGTTTTGAAACATTTCAAAACATTAGGGTTTTAACTATTTAAATTTCAAAACAACAAAACTTTTGGGGTTCAAATTTAAACTATAAAACCTAAAGGGATAAATTGAAACTATTTCACAAGATAATTCAAATCTAAATTACAAATAATCAAACTTTATCTAATAAAACAAGTGATTATCTAAATTTTGACAATTATCTTCTATTTTGGTAAGGATAATCACATAATAATGGAAAAATTCGGATTTTATCACAAAAGAAAGTTTATGGTAATTATCCAAAACCAAAACAGGAAGAAAATCGCGAATCTGAGCTGTCAGACCCTTTGACTCGTCGAGTCTGGACCTGGACTCGTCGAGTACAGCTGACTCGGCGAGTTCACCAAGTGACTCGGCGAGTCAAACATTCAGAAACTCAAAAAATCGATTTTCAGTGCTTATTTCGATCAAATATGCATCAATACAATTGAAACCAATCTAGGCTCTGATACCACTGTTGGGTTTTGGTCATAAGACATCCTATGTGCTCATACAAACCCTAATGCTTGGATCTAGGTTTCTCTATTGTACATGCTTTGAATCCAAGACTATAAACCCTAATTCTAGCATACATATAATCATATTAACATGAGAATAAGTTTATAGTGTTACCTTGATTGTTATGTAGCAATAACAATCCCAAATCTCCTTGTATTGACTTTGGAAGGCTTAGAGTCACAAGTGTCACTCCTCTAATGGCTCACAAACACCATAAGCAAGTGGAGAAGGTATAAGGAGAGAGGTGAGAGGTTAGAATTCGTATCTAGGACCTCTTGGGAAGGGATACACGAATTCATGGCCCTAGGGGTGTTTATATAGGTGTAGAGATAGGGTTTCAGTCATTATCCTTATCTAGTTGATTATCCATTAAGCAACCAATAAGATAATCCTTGAATCCTTATCATACTCGAATTCTAAGGGATTTACACCTCAAATTCGTTCACCATATATATAAGGTAATCCTTACCTTATTTTGTAACTATCACATAATTACAATTCAGCCCCTCTAGTTTAATTAATTACATTTGATCACAAAACTAATTCTTAATTAATTATTGACCAATATTAATTAAACAAATATGATTTCTCCTTTAATATATTATTCTTATAACATATTAATAAATCATATTATCCTCTCTCTCTTTATTCATTTCTCCAATCAAGTTGCTTTGGTGAAGGCAACCCAAAAGGACCATGCACCATCGGGTCAAGTACATACCAAAATAGTTATGGACTTAGACACTAATCCAACAGTTCATACAACTCGGCGAGTCTTAGCATAAAGTGTTCATCGGATGAAGATGAACTCGACGAGTTGTTCATACAACTCGGCGAGTAGGATGAAGGAGTTGAATGACAGTTTGAAGGTGAACTCGTCGAGTCATAGCCCGACTCGACGAGTAGAACCAGGGACCCAGGATAATAGTTTGCTAGGGACTCGGCGAGTGGAGATCCACTCGGCGAGTCGGGTCAACTGAAAGTTGACCCTAGCATTGGCTTAGAGCTAAACCAGGGGTAAAATGGTCATTTTACCTAAAGGACAGTTAGCAGTGTTTGATTGAGTATGTTGTGGGAATTACAGCCGGAGGACTCCCGGAGCAGCAGCAGTCAGTTAGTTCCCGATCAGTTCAGCAGCTACTTTGAGGTGAGTTACCTTCCAGTAGCAGTGGGTCTAAGGCCACAATGCCGACCCACCAATAGGAGATGTATGATAGATGATTGTCTTTGTGATATCATCTAAGTCTGCTACTACCTGATATGTTATATGCTAGCATGATATGTTGTATGTGATATTAGTAGAGTTTGGTGGTTAGGACCAAAGGGTAGTCAAACACCCCAGATACGTCTGACAGTATGTGATGATATGTTTGCATGCTGGCTTGTTATGTTATATGTGATCGTAGTAGTAGGGGGTGAAATAGTCCCCGAGGATCGGTTATTAGGACCGATGGGTAGTCAGCACCCCAGAATGGCTTGACATGGGTAGGTCAGCACCCCAGAATGGCTTGACACGGGTAAGACGGCACCCCAGAATGGCCGTATGGGTAGGTCGGCACCCCAGAATGGCCGTACCGGGTAGTCAGGCACCCCAGAATAGCCTGGCAGTACGTATGTTATGTGTTTGTATGGTATGCGGTACGTTGGGGGAACTCACTAAGCTTTGTGCTTACGTTTACAGTTTTGTTTTCAGGTACCTCTGCATCGAAGGGGAAGGAGCCGGCGCGGTAGCGGCACGTCATACACACACTCTTCGGTTTCCGCATTTATGAGATTTACTGGGATTGTACTCTGATATTTTGATGGGATGTATGGTTTGGCTTTTTGGAACATGGTTGCAACGTGTTATGGTGTGAACAAACAATGTTTTTATTTATTAATGTTTTCTAAAGTAATACCTTAAAAATGAAATTTTCGGACGTAAAAATTGGGTCGTTACAAATGGTATCAGAGCTAGGGCACGGGTCGATGTGTTCGACAGGAACGTCGAACCCTATAATGGGGGGTGAAGGTGGGTTGCACCTGATCCTACATCGGCTTGGAAGGAGAACAAAACATCTCCTTATAAGGGGTGTGGATACCTTCCTTGTCACAACGCGTTTTAAAGCCGTGAGGGCAGTAGATCCCATAAGAACTCTGCAGTTAAGCGTGCTCGGGCGGGAGTAGTACCGGGATGGGTGACCCCCTGGGAAGTCCTCGTGCCGAGTGGCCCAAAGCGGATAATATTGTGATACGTGCCAGAGGGGGGTGTTACAAAAAAACTAGTAAACATCATCCAAAAAAGTCATCAAACATAGGATCCAGAAAACTAGTAAACATCATCCAAAAAAGTCATCAAACATAGGATCCAGAAAACTAGTAAACATCATAAAAAAAAACTAGTATCCAAACTTTTCTACCCGCACCTATCAAAGGTAACCATACTTCTTACCCGCACCCATCACCCACGACTCACAACTACTATGCGAAAGTCGTAACCAAACTTTTCGAACATCAACACTTTCACCAAATAGCAAAAGAGCGGTCTTGTGTCTTTCATCTTCTTCTCCTCATTCCATTTTGTTCAATTTCTCCATACACGCATCAACATCCTTATCCATTTCACTTTTTTCAATTCTTTCATTTTTTCCACTAACGACCTTGCAAGCTTGACAATCTCCTCTTCAACTTCTAATGCCCTTGCATCTCTTTTTTTTCCAGCAACTCTTTTGTTTCCACCAACTTCCTTATTTTTTGAACGCCCCGAAGATTCTTCACTTGCACCTATGTGTTGTGTTGAGGTTTCCATTGGAACATCATCATCAAAATCATGGGGACTAAACTCTTCTACAGGACGAGGGAGTGTAGAAGATGGCCCCCAACTTTGAAATCCGGTTGATGTCGACCCTTCAAATAGTTGGGTGCACAGATCAGGGAACAATAGGGGTTTAGTTTTCAATGACAACACGAACTTGTTCAACTGTTTACAATTTTTATAAATATTAGTATATGTTATAAAAATAATCATACTAGTATTGATTAAAAAAATAAATTTAATCAAATAGTATATGTTATAAAAATAATCATAATAGTATTGATTAAAAAAATATTACCTTCCCCTCTTCTTTCCATTGTTCATCGGTCAAATTAAATTTATTTTTTATAGGATCATATATATTACCAGTTTTGTTTTTGAGTTTCACCCAAGCAACATACTTTGATTTGTAGTAGTCAAAGTGGTTTCTCATTTGCTTCTGATCAACCTCTTTACCGTGTTCGTTTATCAATTTTTCGCGTATTGTCTTCCATGAACTTGCCTTAAGCCCAGAACCCTCACGACCATTAGTGGTTAGTTCATGGATACATGCATCAAGAAAAGTTTTGTCCTCACTCTCGTTCCAAACCAACATCCTAAAACATTAATATTTAAAGTAATTTATCATAGTTTTTATCAAGTTAAAGAACAATTTTAAACATAAAACAATTTTCAACTAATAAAGTTAACATCATCCTAAATTATGATTTGATAACTTATACACAAAACATGAATATTCAAGCTAACAATTTCACAAAAGATAACAACCTAACAATTAAGGTCAACAATATCAAAGCTATAAAATTAGAAAAAAAAAAAAAAAAAAAAAAACAGCCCAATTTTTGATTTACAAACCTACTTGTATTTTCCAATTCACATTCAATTTCAATTCACAAGCTATAAAATCAAAATTCAAAAAAAAAAAAAAAAAAAAAAAAAAAAAAAAAAAAAAACTTCCAATTCACTTTCAATTTCAATTCATAAGCTATAAAATATGAACTGGGGAAACAAACTTCTAATGTGAATCGGAGAAAAAAACTTCAAAATCAGAAAAAAAAAAAAAAACAAAAAAAAAAAGCAAAAAAAAAAAAAAAACAAAAAACAAAAAAACAAAAAACAAAAAACAAAAAAAACAAAAAGCAACTAACAATTCGCATTCAATTTTAGAATTCATAACATTAGAAAAAAAAAACTTCAATTTTCAGTTCTTATACACAAAGAACTACAAAACAAAACATAAACAAACTTCCAATTCACATATAATTTCGAAATTCATTATATTAGAACAAACAATTTCAGATTTCTAACAAACAATTTCATAATATGAACATACAGCTTATCATATGAACATACAAAAAAAAAAAAACAGCCTAATTTTTTATTTACAAACAATTTCAGATTTCTTATACACAAAGAACTACAAAAAAGAACAAAAAAAGCTTATCATATGAACATACAGCTTAAGAATTCATAATATTCTAACAAATACTAATTTGATTTCATAAAGAACTACAAATTTCATACCATCAAAGCATAAATGATATCTGATTTTGAAAATTATTAACAGAAAAATCATGTAACCTGTGTGATGGATCGAGAAGGCGTCACTGATGGCGGTGGCGGAGGTACGCGATCCAGCGGCGGAGGTCCGATCCGACTGTTTGGCGTTCAATGTTGTGGAGTTGTTCCTGGCGGCTGGTGTGCTTTTAGGTAACTGGAAGGGAAGCGAAGGGGGACGAGGCCTAATAACGACGCAGGGCAAGATAAGGGTAATATTGTCTAATTTCCAGTCAGCAACTATTTGAGGCCTGAGCCAGAAAGCGATTTGGGTCAGCAATCTTACCGAGAAAGCTAAAATCAAACACCAATAGGTCTGACCGAGTCAGCCCATTTTGCTGACTCGACCCAGTCAGACAGTTATCAAACAAAACCTAAGTTTAGGAACAACGAATAACCTTTGCATGCATGTGAGCTACCTTGTGAGGAAAGAGGAGTTCCAAGGATTGATCGTTATTGTCGTGCATGGAGGAGAGTGGGAAGCTTTGCTAAGATCCAGTGATAAGAGAGATGGAGGCTACTGTAACTGAAATGTAAGTGGGAGGATATAGATCTTTTTAAAAATGAATAATTTTATTTAAATGTTTAATTCGTTAGAACATGAAGCACTAATTTCATGATTTGTGCTTTACAAAAAAAGAAGTGTCCTTTCTATGTTCTTAATTTTGGATTTTTGTTTGTAGTGTAAAGAGATAATAATATTATGTATTAGCTAGAAATAATTATTGGGTTTTATATTTTAAAGGAAGAATTTTATGTCACTTTTAAACTTTAAAATATTATATATGTCGAGCTTAATTTCTTAATATCATATTTATCTTTCATAAACTTTCAAAATATCATATTTGCTAAAATCTTTTTTTATAATGTTTTTAATACTTTATAATCATTTTTTATACCTTAGAATTATTATAATAATTTAAAAAAATTAAACCATATTATTCTTACGTCTATGATAATGAAATGTGAACTTCTAAGTTGTTGGAATGTAGACCTCTTAACAGACAAAAAATTTCATCTTCAAACATTTCTATGAAATGTATATTTTAATTGTTTAGTTTTTGTTGTTGTTGATTATTATTATGTTATAGATAAAGAATATTTTAGATATTACCATTCATATTTTGATGTTTAAAAAGTGAATATAATATATTTTGAGTTTTAAGAAGGGCATATATGATATTTTGATATTTAAAAATGATAAATATGATATTTTGAAATTTTAAGAATGATAAATATGATATTTAGAAATTTTATGAAAGGGTAAATATGATATTTACAATTTAAGTTGGGTAAATATGATATTTTGATGTTTAATAAGGGCATATATGAAATTCTCCTTATTATGCATATTTTCTAGAGTTAGATTTATTAGAAGGGTGTAATAGTCATTTGCTAAAAATAAGGATTTAAAAGGATTATAAAATACTTAAAAATGTGAAAAACTAAAGATTTAGGTAAATATGATATTTTGAATACTGGAAATTGTTAGAAAAATCTCAATATTTTCGAAAAAATTTCACTTTAGTCCTATAAAATTTTTTAAATATAAAAGTCTCGATTATTTCTATTTTGCTCAAATTAACAAAAAAAAATCTTTTTTTTTCCTTTTAACAGGAAAATCACATAAATAATCGGGACTTTTTCTGTTTAATTTTTTTTTGGATTAAAGTGAAACTTTTCCGAAAACATTGAGATTTTTCTGACAATTTCTCTTATGAATGCTTATAAAAGATAAATATGATACTTAGAAATTTGATTGGGTATATAAATATAGATGGGGTAAAGACCTTGATAAGGGTGATTATCCATATTATTTCCATGTTGGAATGAAAAGAAGGGAGAAAATGAAAAAAATTATGGGACAATATTTTAATAGTAATACTTGCCTGCATGTTAAGTTTGTTATTTACACGTGAAGATTGATTATTTGTAAAGTTTGCTATTTACATATGAAGACAGATTGTAAATGTTTACGTGCCAAAGTTTGTTAAGATGAATTTCATATATATATATATATATATATATATATATATATATATATATATATATATATATATATATATATATATATATATATATATATATATATATACTAGTTTATAACCCGTGAAACCACGGTTTATAAAATTAATTAAACTTTAATAGTTAGAACACAAAATTATTAATCAATTATAATCGTTAATTTAAATAAATATGTGAAATTATATCACCTTATAATTTGTTTTAATTTTATTTTAATTTTTATTGCATTGTTATTAATTTATTGTAATTAAAGTGAAAATTTTAAATTTGAAATAGAGAATTAATAGGTTGATAAGTGGCATGCATTAATTAAGAGGTTTAATAAGGTGATACATGGCAAAAAAAGAATAAAATATGTATTAATTAGAAGGATGACACATGTCAAAAGAAGATTAAAACTAGTCTTTTATTAGAATAGGGATATATATATATATATATATATATATATATATATATATATATATATATATATATATATATATATATATATATATATATATATATATTGTTTGACACGAAATAATTCACAGAGTTTGTGGGAAAATATGGAAAAATATGGGTGCGCAAAAAATCCTCTCTCTCTCTCTCTCTCTCTCTATATATATATATATATATATATATATATATATATATATATATATATATATATATATATATATATATATATATATATATATATATATATATATATAATCTGGAGGTTTTTATTGGTTTAAGGAATATGTTAATTCCTTCGACCTTAAAGATTTCAAATTCCAGTATTACTCACTTGGCACTCTAGTGTCTAAACTATATATTTTGACAAGTATTCATATTATATTAGAAGAAGAAGGGAGTCCTAAGAAGAGGGTTTGGATATTTAAAAGACCACTTTTGTTGTAGTGGTTTCTTTGAACTGATGTTATGATATTGTTTTAATACCCTTAAACTTTAATCTTTTGAAATGTGGATTTTTAACAATTTTAAGAGTGTAAGGCCATATATTCTATAAAAGATGATTATAAAGATTGTTAAATGAGTTTTAAAAAGTTAAACATTTGAAATTACAAGAGTGGTGTTTCATCTATCATGTTGCATGGAAATCAAAAAGACAAATTATTGTTTCTTTATCTTTAATTGTGTGATCTTCCAAAAATTCAAACCAAATTTTTTTATCTAAAAATATAAGTAAATCGTACAAAATGCTTTCATTAAAAAGATTAAGTAATAAATTTTCACAAAACATCATCATGACATAATATCAAAATATATCAAACCATCATAACAACCATAGTTTATAATAAATTAATGAAGATACGTGTGTCGTACAGTCAAACTGGAGTTTTTCCTCGATCAACAACTATAAGCATAAAGTTTCGTGAGTCCTCTGAAATACAACATAGCTACATATATACGCATACATATACATACATAAATAAATACACATACACACATATACATACATACACATACATATATACATATACACATTAAGACACACACACACATACACATACATACATACATATAAACATACATACACACACATACACATACACACACATACATATACATACACACACATACATATACACAAATACACTATGACACACATACGCATGCATACATACACACATGCACACTAAGACACACATATACATATACTCCTACACAAACATACATACATACATATACACATACACACACACACACACACACATATATATATATATACATACATACATACATGCATACATACACACATGCAAGGGCAGTCCTACAATGGGGGCAGCTGCCCCCACAACAAAGAAAAAATTAATTAAAAAATAGTTTTTTTTTCAAAAGATATTATATTTTAACCATTCAAAATTATATATTTTGACTTATCAAAAAAATTTGCCCCCATAAAAATTTATAAAAAAAATTGGCCATACTTCGGAAAATTTTTGGGTCCGCCCCTGCACACATGTTCATATACATATACACACATGCACATGTAGGGATGAGATTTAGAACCGGAAAACCGGACCGGAACCGGAACCGAACCGGAACCGGACCCGTTAGAACCAGAATATATAAAATCGGGTCCGGTTCCGGGTTTAAAAATTGGCTTTATCCGGGTTCCGGGTAATCCGGGTTTGGGTCCATTGGGTCCGGTAAACCGGGTCTAAAATCCGGAACCGGTTTTTGGAACCGGAACCACTTTTAGGGCCGGAACCACTTTTTGTGAAACGTTTACAAGATGCATATCTTATTCGTTTCAACTCCAATTGACATACGGTTTTTTCCAACATGTAGTTTAGAGTTTGTACATGATTCTAGACTATAAATTTGTCATTTTTAGTTTTATATTCATTGACTTACAATCCTCAAAAGTTGAGATAACAAAGCTGAAAGTTTTTAGTTTTTTAGTTTTTTTGTATTCGGTGAAAGTTTTAAAACATGCATACCTAATTCGTTTGAAGTCGGATTGACATGTGGTTTTTTCCAACTTCTAGTTACAGTTTGTACATGAGTTTAGACTATAATTTTGTCATTTTTGGTTTAACATTCAATGATTTACAGTTCTCCGAAGTCGGGATATCAAAACTGAAAAGTTTCAACTTTTTAGCTATTTGTTTTTGTACTTTGTATTATGTGAAAATATTAACACAAGTATATCTCATTCGTTTAAATTCGGATTGACATGCGAGTTTTTCCAAAGTGTATTTTAGAGTTTGTACATGATTTTAGACTCTAATTTTGTTAATTGTGGTTTCGTATTCAATATGTTACAGCCCCCCAAAGTCGGGATATCAATATGAAAATTTTCAAAGTTCAACCCACTAAGTAGTAAGTAATTACAAAAAAATTCCGGTTTTTTCGGGTCTAAACCCACTTTATCCGGTTCCAACCTACCCACTTTGATGTTTCCGGGTTTTCCGGTTCTAGACCCACTTTACCCGGAACCATACCCGGAACCGAACCGGAACCGGTTCCTATATACCGGTCCGGTTTCCGGTTCTATAAAATCCCATTAACCGGTTCCGGGTTTCCGGGTCCGGGTCCATCCGGTCCGGGTTTGGACCCACTTTCATCCCTATGCACATGTATATGTATATACACACATGTAGCCTTCGTTTCGCTTATTCGTGTGTTAAATATTATTATTATTATTAGTACTATTAATATCATTTTTAACTATTAGTGTGTTAAACATAGTTTTTTTGAATTTTTTTTCTTTTCATGTTATATGGGTGCATGTATATGTAATACAATAATATATGTGTATACGCATGATAGATATGTAAAAAACGAACAGAAAAAAAAAAGTTGCGTTTTAATAATAATAATAATAATAATAATGGAGATTATAATAGTCTGTCGGTGTTTCATAGTTATTTCGTAACTATTTCATCTGTCGGTATTCCATAGCTATTCCATCAATAATTACCTACGGATTTCCGATGGCATACATTCCGTA